GTGGAGAGCAAATGTTTTGAGAATGATGAGGGTAACGAATGTACAAATGTGCTTTATACAATGGATGTATGTATGGATTGTGATAAGAGTTGTATGAGCCCACAATAAAATGATTAAAATTAATTAATTAGTTAAAAAGAGTGACAGTCCCAGAAACCCACAGGGGCCATTCTACCCTGCCCTATGGGGGCTCCAGGAGTCCGAACTGACCGGATGGCAACGCGTTTGGCTCGGTTTGAGGAAGCTTACCACAATAGAGCGGGACTGGGGAAAGGCTCCCCCTTGCTCATTGAAAGCACTTACTGGTGAAGGTCAAAGGCTACAGCCTCGGTAAGGATCACAACTCAAAGTAAAGAAAGGAAAATAAAAATCCTCACAGCTGGACCAATAGACAGCATCATGACAAACGGAGAAAGGACTGAAGCTCTCAAAGATTTCATTTTGTTTGGAAGCTGATTTTGGCAGCAATTGTATAATTCTAGTTGACATGATTGAATATGGAATGATATATGTATTAAATCCCAGCTAATTAAAAAAAAAGATTTCATTCTGTGTGGATCCATAGTCAACTCTTTTTGAAGCAGTGGTCAAGAAATAAAGGTGGGGAGGGGGAGAAATGGGGGATGAATAACAGAAGTGTGAGTGAAGAGAGACAATGGACAGTGTAAGACACAAAATAACAACAATAACATATAATTGATCAAGGATTCCCGAGGGTGGGGGAGGGAGGGGAAAAAAGAGGAGTTGCTACCAAGAACACAAGTAAAAAGAAAATGTTTTGGAAATGTTGATGGCAACATATGTACAAGTATGCTTAATACAATTGAATGAGACTAGCCAGTCGGGGTGCAGTATAGCACTGATGAAACAGACGACTTTCCTCTAGGTCTTTACTGTCCCCCCACCACTAGCATGACCCCAATTCTACCTCATACATCTGGCTAGACCAGAGCATGTACACTGCTACAAATAAGAGCTCTCAACACAGGGAACCCAGGACAGATAAACCCCTCAGGACCGATATTGAGAGTAGAGATGCAAGGAGGGTAAGGGGAAGGTTGGGGGAAAGGGGAAACCGATCACAATGATTTACATATACCCCTCTCCCAGGGGGATTGACAACAGAAATGTGGGTAAAGGGAGACATTTAGATGCCAGGGAGACGCTTTGATGCGGAGAG